GCAGGGCGAAACTTAGATTCCGCAGAATACACACGCAATTCTCCAAAGCCTTGCCATCAAAAGCATAATTTTCAACACAGTGAGAGCAGACGAGACTAAGAGCAGCTACAAAACCCAGGGATTCCCGAAGACGATGACGACATTCTGCATCTTCGACAAGAACATTTCTGTGAGAAATAATTGAATCTCAACGTTACACGAAGCCGGTATCGAAATGGAAGTAATGGAAATATGAAAATACTTTAAACATAGAATAATTATCAGAATCTACTGACGATACGAAATAGCTATTGTAGTCCTTCATTCGAAAAAAGACCCAATCAGAAACCTGATCGTTCCTGTTGCATAGATAAAAGTTGGAAGTTCGTACGTCTCTGCCGACCTTTCATTTTTAGTAGAAGTATTTACATCTCGTGCAATTCCTGAATAAGGCAATATTATATTCTTAATTAAGCATGGCACCCCGTTTCTACTAATCGTATCCTTAAATTCGGGGTATATGGATAAATTGCAAAGCGTAGCAGTAGCCGCTTCAACAGTAGATTGATTTAAATTCATTGAGAGCTGCGAAGGTGAAACGTCTTCATCCATGAGTTCATTCAACAAAACAAATAAATTAGAAATCACCGACGAATCATCCATCCTATTCTAAAAAGAAGTAAAACACCTGCATCATTACCCTAATTTCTGGGGTACACTCGTAAGATAAGTTTCGCAAAGCAGAAACGGCACATTTCTTGACTATTTGAATGGAGGAAAGCAGCAGTCTTGAAAACGACTCAATACCACCAAAATCCCTAAAAAAATGCAAAAAGTGAATAGCCAGGCATTTCAGTGCAGAACTCAAGCAACAAGCTTAAAATCTTACAAGAATACCAAAAGGCATATCACGTACGCAACTTTTCGCTTGACTTCAGGGTTTTGATAAGATAAATGACAAAGGTAGGCGGCAGCTGAAGCAACGTCACCAGAGTCATCTCGCGAAAGCAAATCCAAGGCGTGTTTCAGGTCTTCATCACGGAAATCGCGATTTGAGCCAGGCCGTTTTATAATAGGATCAATTGGTTCTGAAGCAAAGCATCTATGACTGATTTATCACTAACCCCCTACAGAAAATTGAGCTTGAGAACTGCCATTCATTTTAGAATTGATTTCTAATTCAGTCAGAAGATGATCACATGCGCCACCACCAGAGGAGCTTCCCAAGTAGAAATGGGCGGAATGAGCAGAAGGAGAGCTTAGTGATGCCAAGTCAACACAACCCACTGATGTGGGCGGCAGATTCGATCCACACTCCTGATAATGATGAGGCTTCATAATCCACAGACAAAAGCGGTATTCCGATATATTTTAACGCTAAAATTGGAATGTGAAACCATGTAGAATACAAACACTTGTCTTTGAGCAAATTAAGGTAATATAAGCTTACCGTTAAAATTCAGAAGTTTTAGAGAATGTAGTCGGTGCCTCACTAAAGAAATATATTAAAAATGACACACGTATCCAATGGTGAAATATTAGGTGCATGTGAAAAATTACACCACTCAAGAGCACAACAACCTTGATAAAGAGCAATTAAAGGGCTGCCAAGGTCAGTAGAATACAATAAAGCAAGTGCGAATACATTTCATTTTCCTGCTAAATTCGACAAAACATGCGCGATTCTTAATAAAAATTATTAAAAGTGCACTAAAAAACAGCAACGTCTAATTTTTTGCAAATTAACAGTCATACAGGATTTTTGCCTGTGTAAGCTTGGTCAAAAATGTCGTTCACATGTATTTCAGTGCTTGAACTGCGGTACAGCGATTACATTTAGACGAAGATGCGTTGTTTATGAAGTTACACTGAAAATGTATCCAAGGGTAGCATTATTGAAAGTTGTACTTTTATGCTGCTTATTCTGTTCTAATGACAGCTTTTGATTAACAAAAGTATTTATGGTTTCTATTTTAGTCCTTTTTTCATTATGGATTGGGATATGTGGGTTTTCACATCGGCATTACTAATAAGAGTACTCACTCATTCTCGTAGATTTTTTTGGGCGAACACGATATATACTGTTTTTCAACTTATTCACGAAGCTTTCTCGATTTTGGCTCTAGAAGTGCGTATTTTATCTGTGACTTCTGCGGGTCTCATCTGTGCTTCTGAACTAAACTTCTGGAAATAAGTTAGTTGCCCACCTCGTTATATGCACACCTATCTCGTACTTTGTCTTCAGCTGCGGTCATAAACGGATGTAATCCGTTTAAGATCAGCATCTGGGTTTTGTTCACGGTTTCTGTACTATGCTGGTGAACATTTCTCCGTTAATGGTCTTTCTGTTAATGTGCTTCAACGTCCTTTTTTATTCCACAACTATGGCATATTGAGTTCGAAGCATTTTGAGTTGTTTACAGGTTTCATTACTTTTCATTCAGTGGTAATGGGTTTATATTCCAGGAACAAATAAGTGCCTGCATCACATCCTTTTAAATTTAGGTACGTGATGCTTATTAAATCTGTTAATCGCCTAAATTCCCATCCTAAGCGTGAACGAGAAAATGGTGATCGTAAGTGTCTCTTCTATTGCTGAAAACATTCAGCTTCTGTTATTTCAAACAAGGAAGAAGGTGATGTGTTTGATTCTGAAAGGTACTTCTCTGTAATCTGCTTAGTATGTTGCAGGGAATATATTGAAAAGTTGGAGGCCTTCGCATCACAATTGAGGCAATTAAATGAGAGGACACATCCAGGTATTGCGTAGACTTCGATCGTACATTTCTCTAGAATTCTGCAAGGCTTCAAAAAGAATCGAAAATTGGCTTGCGGATCAGAAACTTCGCAATCAAATTCTTCATGATTACAAAATTGACGAAATTCATGGCCAGTATGAACGCGAAATTCGTACGTGTGATCGCGACTGTGGAGTAAGCAGTTGGTGGTTTCCATAATGATTCTATCACCAGATGGAAAAGAAGAAGATTCAAGAATACCTAATTGGTCTATGCGAAGATTTGAAACGTCGACTAGAACATGACAAAAAATGCATTGAGCTTACCACCACAGGCGGTAGGTCCTAAATCTTTGTGTCTAAGGTTATTGAACTCCTTGTTTGTTTATTATGAATTGGAGTTTTCTTTTTGCCTTTGAGTTGTGGTTCGAGTCTGTTTTGGTATTGTCATTCTGTTCAACATGTCCTGTTGTTGTAGATGTGCTTGAATTAAAACCAACTGTAACTCGTAAGTTGCGTCGTCGAGCACCTGAGGTACCATCTTCTATCGCTGGGTCGGGAATTGTAAGCGGTTCTGGTGGTAGATTTGGCTACTGGGGTGATTTACAATTGTATGCACCCAGCTGGTCTGTTGCAATCTTAAATACTTCCACCAAGTCCGGCCTCGAACTGCCACCGAGTCCTTGCCCTACCACTGGTACAGGGCAGAATGTCGAAGACGCTATTTGTCGTGCCGTTGCTCCACCTCCCAGCACGTTTGGTAATCTATTTGGTAGCCTGGGTGTCAATGTAGAAGACGGTAGTAGTCTCTTGACTCACCTGATTGCCTCTATAAATGCCTCAAATGCAGCCGGTAATGGACACGGAGACTCCGGTGTCTTATCCGCTTCCGGTGTGGTTTTTACTCAGTCTGCTCTGGCTAGCACCTTAGGGTGCATTAGCAATACTGGCTCGAACTCATCTGCTGTGACATCGGTTGCTGCTGTCATTGTTCCTGGATTAACTGGTTCGACCGGTCCTCAGCCGTCGAAACGACGAAAGCAGCAAAACAATCAACCGCTGACCCAGTTGAGCCTACTTTTGCCAGAAAATGATATCTACTCGGATCTCACACTCATACATAGGTTTGTTTGTACCCCCTTAACTCGCAATTGCATTGACAATTCGACACCTTTCATAGAATCATTCTTTTGTTTCCGTCTTACATTTAAGTACAAGTTGTATCTGTCAGAGGTTCGTAACTCTCATTGGGGTCGTTAGTATATTATCCATCCCAACTGAACACAAGGCAGCGATAGAGAATGCACTTATGTTCTGTTGTATGTGCCTGGTTGAACAGGACGTGCGGAAAGCCGCCTTTAAGCGTTGGGCTGAAAAAGCTCAATCACGAGACCGGCGTAGGGGCTGGGGCAGCGGCACGTGGTGTTGCAGGTGCCAGCAGTCCCCTTGTAGTGAGTACTCGTGGTGAGGAGGCGCATTCGAGACGACGCGGCGATAACACAGATAGCAGTCGAAGGGATCAACACCATCGACATCACCACCATCATCACCATCATCACACCCATCATCACCATGACTCCGCCTCCCGTGAGGGTAGTTCAAATGGCCCTCTCATCTGGATCGATGATGGCCGTCTTTACATTGGGCAGTCCTGGTATGTTGTTTGTCTGACTTTTACTCCCCTTAGCCAAGTGAAGCACTCACCACAGTGTTTTGATGCACTGCGGTGGCCATAACATTTTTATCCTCTGCAGTTACCAACAAGGAACTCCCGTCTATCTGGAAAGTCACGGCTGCAACGGCACGGTGGTTGCGGTGGGTGCGCAGGACGTTTCCATCAAGCGGAGCTCTGACACTGGTATTATGCGCATCACCGTTCAGCAACTCAAACTCGGCCGTTACGTTCTGGCTCCGCTGCAGTCACGGTAGTATCCTTGTCCTCACCTCGCACATTTTAGTTTAATATTATTTTCTCTAAGATTGGGTATTCTGAACTCTTCATGTATCATGTATCATTTTAAAACATTTGCTAGACCTATACTTGTTTTAATGTCTTATTGGATCGAGCAATTTAGATTCTTCTACACGTCGCATTATATTCATTCTAGCAAAGTAAACAGTATGTAGCGGCTTTGGTTTTGGATCCACATTAAAAATTTTTTGGGGAAGCATCATTAAGTTGAGGTACCTTTCATACAGACAATATCCGTTGTGGACCACAGCACTTGCTTTTGTCTGACGTGTCTGTCCTGTGTTGTTGATGGTGTATCTAGGTCCCCAATAGCACTTATTCTTTTGAAGCAAAGCTTAGGCGCCGTATTTGCTGCTAATTCTGCAAGTTCATTGCCGTTCGCTACACGGGAATTTACCTGGTCTTTGCACACACTTATTGCTAAGGTGGGTTTGGAGCCTCAACCACGCGAGATGAATTAAATACCGCATTGTTCAAATCTTGAAATTTTTTCAACAAAAGGGTAGGGGCATTGCAATCAGGATGATTTGAGATCATTTGAAGACGGTTCGTCGAGAGTTTTATCACATAGAATGCTTATGTCCCTCGCAATCGTCGGTGTCTGCATTCCTACTTCAGGTTCAATTAGTCCAGAGTTCCATCTGAGAAGTATCTCTGTGGTGTCCACTAGGCGACGAATTTGATCTCTCACGAGAGGGGTTGAGCACATCTGACAAGCGAAATCCGGGTGGTTCTCGATGTAACTATGGTATAAACCAGTGATAAGTGATTCACGCAAGAAGCACCATGGCTTTGATACGTGAACGTCACGTAAAAAGTGACTTACGACATTAAAGTTGTGTACGTCATTGGGAAATCACAACCAGGGCAGAGAGTTAAGTCCTCTTTTACGATATGTTTGCCCTGAGCACAAAACCATATAATAGGTGGTTTGGGTCACAAACAAACGACACTTTGAAATAATAAGTACCTTAGCAACATTTTAACCTTACAACGTAGGGTCTGTAGTTTTACTCGGGGTACCTCTATGTCGCACAAAACTGCGACGATTTTCAATTCAACTTTGGATCTTAACTTTGAAACCAATAAGGGTTTGGTGGTATTTAGTTGTGCATTAACAATAGAAACAAGTGAGCTGAAAGATCAGATTCAGACAATGAGTGAAGGAGTGTGCTACCGTAAGAGTGCAGTAGGGCAGGTGAGTTCGACAGGAGCTGCAGGTAAGTTCGTACTCGGCCACAGCATCAGAGCAGAAGGGACAAGGGGCGGTGGAGTTGAGTGCCTTTGCTTCTTCTGGTGAGAGTTTTTCAGGACGGCGAACAGTGCCCTCGATTCGACGGCGGTAGCGTGGATCTATCTTCTCTTTATACTCATTTCGCAGCAGCATTGACGCATATGTAAAACTCATGTGCTTTAGGTTTACTTTTTGGCATTCGATTACGGTGCTCGACAGAATCGGCACGATGTCTAGTGTAAGGGAGAGTAGGTAGTTATGATTTTACTTCACCGGAGATGTAGATACATGTACCCAACATCTCGATGTTTCAAGTTCAGCAAAATTATTTATTCATATCTTGCATGTGGTTACAGCCTACTCTACTCATTCCCATAAAAAAGTAAAACATTAAGTACAGTTGAAATAACTGGACGAATATAAGGGTAGGAGTTATGCCGTGATTAAAATGGCGTTACTTACGCAATGGAAATTTGCTGACATTTTGGGCGATGCGAATTAGCAATCTGGCAGCCATCATGTGGTTGCCAAAGTTGACATGAAACTAAGGCAGAAATACAAAAAGGAAAAAAAACACGAGTACAGGTCTGATCTCACGCAATCCGAATTTACTGAGAAGAAGGCCTTGAAGACTGTATGTTCGGAGTGGTTGTTACTAATAGGGAGCCTAGAAACAAAGCCCTAGTTAAAGCTTTTGAGCGCATGCCGTACAGTGGTTGTAACTCCGTGTAAATTTTTTCCACTCACATTATGCAAATGTGGTACCAATGATGATACTGTTCGGCCTGCTTAGCATTGCAATTACATACTTCGAATGCACCACACTCGTAAAATATTGAGAGTCGCTTTTGTTCGTGCTTTTTACTTGACACTCAACGTGATCACTAAATTATTGGCACAACGTTGATGCAAGACGACCACAGCTCCTGGCTTTAGCGAAAACAATGCATTATTCGGAAATGTGCAGAAATCGACCTACATTTAATGTATGAATGAAAGGATTTGTGTGAACGGGTTGCTACCTTGGCCAGAATGTAGGAGTGAAGGAGGCTTAAGTTATCCAACATTTCGGCTGGAACCTTGATGTTTTGTTGTCTCAACTCTTGTACCATAGAGAAGAGGAGGTTGCGAGCGTTGCGATATTTTCCATTCGACTGTTCCTCACGAGCAACTACCACAGCAGTGCGAGCGGCGTCGTGATATTGATGGAGTGCCATGTAGAGGCGGAAGAGGTGCCGCAAGTCCTTTGTAATGCCATCGGCTTCGCCCATCAAGTATGTAATCACCATGTTAGTCAACTTCTTGTCTCTTGCTTCGCCCACGGCCTCTATGGCCAGGTCCAGTGCTGTTGAGGTGTCCGAGTGGGGCACTCGGAGGAGATGGCGCACCGCCTGCGTTTTTTATCATAGGAGGTGTATCTGTAACTGGGGTGCTTTTCGTAATATGGATGTCACTTGCATCGTCCGGTAATTTACTATCGACTATTAGACCAAGGTTTGGGCGATTTCAACATTTATGAGAATTTAAATATTTTAAAAGGGGTTTCAAAAGGTGGAATTGTCAGTTCAACTAGTTAACATCACTAAAGCAAAAGCGGCTTAGTGCTAACATACTTTCGCATATTGCTTGGCGTACAAAAAGAATTTTCCGGCCAGTAGGGAATTCCGTTCGCACTCAAAGTGAACGGCGATGCTCTTATATTCTTCGGGTGATCCGTCCCTCCCTTCATGAATAGTACAATTAGCCAATAAGTCCACCTCCTACGCTTTCAATGACTTAATTGTGAAACATAAATTTTGGGCAACAGTTTGCACCTACTGTTGCACCTTTATGGATACAACCATTCGACTTTAGCGTTTTGACAATAGAGGCACTGTTTAAGTTAGTGCTTTATTAGCAATAAAAATTGCAGTGTTGTTATTGCCCAACAATTTTTTTTAAAAAGGTAAGAAGAAGAGACAACTACATGTTTTTTTGGGCAAAACATTCGTCATTATATTATTAACCCCTCGTCAGAGTTAGAGATTGTTCACGACTGGACGAGATGCAAAAGCCTGTACTCCAATTACGTTTCAGTTTGTACCTAGCATTTGAAAATAGTGTAGAAAGCCCACCTATCACGTTGGCGTAGACCTCCATTTTGCGATGCTTCAAAGCAAGCTCGTATGCAGCATTGTGGCATTTTGAAAGCACGAGGAATTGAATGGCAGAAGCAAAGTCACCCACTTTTGTGAAGTACTGAGCCACCGTTTTGGCCGCTTCCACACACTTCGTCTCTCTGACTACCTTCACTGCGGCGGCGGGATTGTTCATCTTATCAAGGGTTAATCTTAAACACAGTGGCACACAAGTTAGCACAAACCTGGGACCAGGAATTCTGGTGCAAGCTAAATGTTAGGTATATTGGTCTTTAGGGTAAAAAAGATGATCTCCAAATACTAAAAATTTAAGTCACTGAGATGATCCCTTTAGCTCAGTCTCATATGTAGCGGATTCAGCTGAAATGCCACTTTCACAGTCTTCACAAGGCACTAACATTTTGCATCGCAATCATCCAAATGAATGGACAAATATCGAGTTATTTGCAAATAAAGTGACAAATATGAGACATCGTGCATACTCTCAAATTAAAAGCGGTATAACAGGGCATGCCTCGCAGAAACGTAAATGAACAGGTGTGCATGTTTATTATTTTGACCATTATCCAGCCAAGAAGTGCTACCATGTGTTAAATGGATTTTCTAGTCAACAGTTTTCGAATTCTTCATTTCAGGTATCTGATAGCATTGGTAGACCGTAGACGATCGTACATCCTTTAACGAAAACCAGTTAAGGGATCATTACAGAAAGAATGAAGACGTAAACAGCTTTTAATGCAATTGGTTAATTAACGGAAAAAATTATTTTGAAACGTTATGCCTAACTATACTCCTAATCAATTCATATACATATATAGCAAGCGCACCGAACAACGGATTCCCAGTCTTTGGCACTTTCGTAGGCAGAAATTGCCTCAACATACGCGCCACTTGATTCTCTCGCCTTAGCGTAGTCTAGGTACAACTGACTAGAGGCCTTCGTTGTGCACAGAAGTTCACCCGCCTTCTTGTAGTTTTTCGATTTGAGGTAGACGGCAATCGCAGCGTCCGTCTGTCCGGTGGCTTCATGAAGAGCTGCAGCTTCCATCCATTGCTAAAAAGCGAATGGAATGCACCACCTTTCTCAGTAAATTGTGTTATGATGTGTAAGAGGCAATGTTATTAAGCAAGCCCGTTTCAACATTGACATAATTCGCATCTGAGGAGTAAAATGTGGGAGAAAGCGGGAAAACGCATTAATAAAACGGAATATGAGATCATTTAGAATTTAAGTTGTAATCATCCGAGCACATTAACAATTGACCAAACGCCTCGTTTATAGCGTATGATTGGTAAAAGTTGTTTGCAGATTTTCCGTTAGAGGAGTTAAATATTTCGCAAACCCATACCCGTGCTTGCTCCAAAATAGATGCACACTCCTTTTTAAGAGCTAGGCTGGGACTTCTCAGTACCATGGACAAGCCCCTAAAACAAAGTAAACCATGTGAAAATGTTGTCGACGTCTTTTACAAATGTTTAGGCACTCAGAATCCTTTTTTAGTCAATTCCTTTAGATAATGTGATTCAACTCTGCACTCAATGCTCAAACATAGCATTCAAAATTACATACAATATAGTAGGCTGAGCAACATAAATCAATGTCAATTGATCATATCATTAGATAGAGACGGCTTTACTTATGTGCAACTGTGACAAGTTAGCAACATGATGGGCAATGGTAAATTTTACTGCTTATTGGCAGGCATGCATTCCGATTTTCCATTGTACTTGAATCATACCGCTTGTAGTCGCCAAGACGAATGGTATTTCTAATGACTCCTGCATTACACATGTCTACATGCTCGTCCCACTCGTCAGATTTGCAGTCGTCAAAACCAGCACAGCCACCGGTCAGTAGAACTCTAGCTTCTTCCACGAAGATACTGTAGTCTAAATGTTTATCACTGATAGCTGGGCGTTCCAGCGCTCGTTCGTAGTACATCAAAGCATTAACGTAGTCGCCGGCGCATTCTAATTCAAAAGCATATTCTCGACTGATAAAGGGAACCTCATGGGGCTGAAGGCTCCGAGCCAACTGCAGAGCAGCATCCCAATGCAACAGGTCACGGCGCATCTGTGAAATGAATAAAATATTACTACTGACCTTGTTGGCGGTGCTGCTAACACTGAACGATGTGCAGTGTAAAAATGTGATGCTTTGCTTTTAAGTAGTTTACTAACCAACCTCTAGTGCTGCTTCAGGCTTGGAAGACGCAAGAAAGAACTCCTGTGCACGGTTGAAATCTCCAAGAAACATGCAAACGTGGCCATATAATAGCTGCTTTTCTTCAATTTTCTTTAGCTTCTGGATGACAAGCACTGAGCCGCAGTCATTAAGTCTACGAAAAGCCTGAATAGCTAGAAAGCAAGAATTAAGGTCAAACGCAGATTAAACTAATTGGTACACCATCGCTTTCCGGCTTATTCATAATAACCACCAAACAATAGCCGTACAACGAGGACATTTTATCACACTTCGGAGGCATGTTAGATGTGGTGGTATGCTTAAATGCAAGTCGAAGGACATTAGTGATATTGCCTAACGGAGCATGTCTTCAAGGTACTGCACTATAGGATGGGCATTACACATAAGGAGGTGATACGGTCAGAGCATACCGATATCAAAATCGAGACAAGTGATGCAGGCTCTAGCAAGTTGACGCCATCGCAACGGCAGCCGAATTAAATCGGAGAGTATCAAAGCATCTTCGAAAGCGCCGGCGTACAGAGTTTTCTCAAAATGCGCAATAAGCTAAAAGGTTTTAAGCGACCAAGTCACAATTCTCCACCCATAACCACCTGCTACATTGAAGCCAATACACAGACACACTAACTGTTCGAAGGCCAAAATAATACGTTCCCTAGCATTTAAATTGATTCTCATCTGTACACGAAAGCGGTAACGCATGAATTAAAGCACCCCAAAGGCGGTAGATTTGGGCAAGAGAAAGGACAACCGATGAACTTGATAAGTTCAACGCTTGCCTCAGCAGCTTACAGTATTGTCTTGAAGTTTACTTTTTCCATCCTTAACTTTCTCCAACTTTGTGCGAGAAGCGCTGTGCTCATTATCACGCTCACATGGTGCACTTTCCGAAGCAACATCAGATCCTGCTCTGGAGGATGCGTAGTTTCTGAATGTGTGAATGGGAAGAGTGGCGTGGACTAAACTACCACGCTGGGTTAAGAAACAGACGTCCTCGGCAAAAAAGCCAAGAGGAGTGTAGTTGAGCGGTGGATGCATACGATCAAGTAAACGACACTCACCATCTAAAAAAACACAGAACAACTCTAACTTTGGAACGGGGTATTATGTCTTGCGTCTTTATTCCAACACCTTTCACTGTCGTGTAAGTTTTGATTCACTGTCTCTATCCGCTTTTCCACAAATGTCAACATGCATGTCTGGAATGAATGAAGAGCTAAACACATTGGAGTATGCATTTGAGTCAAAAATTATGCGTGCTTTTGCATTTCAATCAAGTTCTGTGTCTTCTGCTGCTATGATGCGACGTACAAGCAGCTCTTCGAGATGAGAGAATGTGCCTTTGAGCAGATGCAGATATCTCGGATGCTAGCATATTAGTGTTTCCAGCGGTTCTTGCAACTGACAATTGACTAGAATCTGGCGCAACTGTCTTTGTGCTGAGAGGCGCCATTCGGTGGCTCTGATTAGCACATTCATTTCCAGATAGCAAGACACTTGATGCAAAATATCGATAAATCACGAGAAAATCCTTTGAAACAGCCATCAGTAGAGGCTAAATAAAATTAAATCGCATTTAACTTTGCAGAAAAGACAAATATTTATAACTCATACTTATGCTGATAGGGTGATTGTTGGTCAACCTTCCGTATTGCGCCTAATGACTTTCTAGACCTTAGTTAAGTTACAATATGCACATCAAAATAATACACGCTGTCAACTTACATTCTCGCAATCATTGAAATCCCAGAGAACGCTACTTATATCAATAGGGGAATTCGGAACTTCGACAAGGGTTGAGAAGGCCTACAAGGTGCCGAAGGTACAAGTATCAAAACAGGTAATCAGTGAAAGCCCCTGGTTTCTATATTGAATCACAAAATTGTTTACATTCCAAGCACATTGACTGCTAAAGGATGACAAATACCAACTGACCGAGTTAAAAATGTACGCATCATGCTGTGCGTCGGTAAGGGCGAGTACGCGTCCGCACTTGGTGGAGGACAGTGAAGTTATTTGACAGTAATGTTCGTATGTATTGACAATGGCCCATTCACCAATATGGAACTGGTATAGTTTCCCAGACTAAGGAATAAACATAGGCTGTGTGTTGCAGGTGCATTTATTAGGGTTAAAAATAAATCAAAGCCTTCGCGGAGACACTTTTGAAAGCTGCAGTGATGCCCCTCAGACAAATGCAGTTCACACACTGGCAAAACCAACCAGTCAACGACAACATTACTAGTCTTGAAGATGACCAGTAAGTGAATGACGACTTACATCGACCGAATAGCTTAGCAAAGCGTCCGAGAGATCAAAACTGATTACTCGTTCACCAATCTCTGGGAGAGTCTTCTCCTTCCTCGAATTATCCAGCGGAAATTGAGCTTCCGACTTTCCTCCACCGTACACGTGATTGTACCTGCCTTCATTACTGCCTGATGCTTGCATTTTTGCAGGACAGTTAGTTGATTCAATCTTCAAGGAAAGATGAACGCGCATTACATTTCTAGTAAGGCCTTACCCAGTGAAAGATGATACGGCCTCCGATGGTGCCTGTAGCCGCGTAATTACTATTCAGTTTGATGGCCTTTATGGGCTCTGGATAAGTGCGTTCGCAGACAACCTGCGTATCTTGATAAATACCAAAAACAATTAAAGAACGTAGAAGTGAACGTTTGGTTATCGCACACGTTTTAACACACAATCGCCTTAGAAGCTCATCTGTAAAGTTATTAGTTTGCAAACATAAAGCTGAGGACTACTAGAGTACTGTGCTCGTTGAGATAAAATAAGCGGACTAAATGCTAAGTCCAGCATGCGTTGAAAAAGGGTGATTGGCGTGAGTGAACTCAAACCATTTAAAAGTCTAGAATTCAATGTTTCAATAAGATTAGATAGCTCACCTCCTTTATTTGATATATTGTAGAAATAGGTGGTGCTATCGAATCCAACAGCTAAATGACTAGGGCCGATTCCCATAAAGGTGGGTTCCACACATATGGGGATGACACGAGAAGCCAACTGATCACACTTCATATCAATCTAAAGTGGAACAAATCAGTAAATAAAATATTTCTATATCGATCAAACTGCCTTTATATGTGACACTAGTTGCGGTCATTCTTACAAAATTGAGAGAAATCCAACTGAGCAAATAATCTAGAAAACAATACCAAGGCGGTTTAAACAAAGCAATAGAGGTGTAAAGTATGCCAGTGGAAGCTTACACATAATGGTTCCAAAGTGATTTCGAGAAGAGATGTAAATCTGGCTACAATTCCCGCAGAGGAAACATCACTCATTAAGGGCATCTGACTTATAAAAACATGGAGAACGTTCCTGGATGAAATGATGCCCATTAGCTGTCCGTCCTCAGACCATCCCAAAGAGCACGCAAAAGGATTCTGCGGGTGGGGCAGCGGTGACGAATGTAAGTCTCCCACCACATCCATGTCATCCAACTCCACTACCGCAATTACTTCGTTCAATTTGTTTTTCTCATGAACCTTAACACTTAACAATGAGAAGTGGACAAGTAAAAAAGTGGTCATTTGACCGAAATTGGTGGAAATTGTGGGAACGATCAGTTTGCATAAAATAATTTTAAGGTTTTGTCAAAAATCACTTAAGTCAAAAAAGTCATGCGCCATCTTAGTGTGACACATCATAAAGCTCAGCTAGGAATACCTTTTATCACTGGCGGTAGCGAACAGCTGGAGTTCCGGTGAGACAGCAAGTGCAAGTAAATTTTCACCATACTCTCGAATCCTAAGGAGTTCCTTTTTACGAAATAACAAAGAGAATATGTTAAAACCTTTCCTGCGTCGGATTCGACCATGGATATAAGCGCGAGGCTGCCCTCAGAAAATCCGACAATGACACATTCCATGTCTTGCCATACGTGCGCCACAACATCACCACATAGACCATTGAAAGTGTAAGAGATTGGCTGTACGTCTTCATGAAATTTCCAAACGAGTAACTGATTCTGGTTAACAATACAGCTAACCTGTTCAAAAGATTGCAAATATCGGCATTATGGAGTGAGAATGTTTACAAGGGGTCCAAGAGCAGGCTACCTATCACCTTACCGCATTATCTTCATTGCGTCCAAACTTCGACAATGATGTGTGAGTGAAGATCACATTCCTCGGTATACCTTCAAGTTCTACTTGTTTGATAGGATTACCGTCAATGGAGCTAAGAGATAGAACTCTATCCTCGCCAGTAGTTGCCAATAGCCCTGTAAAACTCCAAACAACAGCTAAAATTCGGCGCGTGTGCACACCTAGGACCGGATATTTTCTAAAAATTAGAAAATTTATGCGAACTTTTTCGTATTCCAGTCACAGATCAGCATATTCCCTTTTGAAGTGCCAACTGCAAATCTTTCGTCCACCTTGGACCAGGCAATAGTGCTAATATTTTCCCTATATTGTTAGAATATACAAGCAATTTTACTTAAAATTTGTCGGAAACCTATTTAATTTTAGTGAACAGGCCTCCCAAACGTAGATATAATGAGTTTCATCGTCGATTATGCCCAGAATTTGGCCATTTCTATCCCAGTCCATTTCTACAGCTTGACTGAATAAATAGCACAGTGACGACCAACATACCCCTGCAACTTTACATCGCCCCTTTTGATCCCAAGTCGGTCAAAAATATAAACCTGTGATTCCGGACTTTAATATGTCGAAATGCATTTAGAATGACACAATCACAGGGTACCCAAAAGTTGCAATCAGACTCGAGGTTATCTTTTGAATTTTAAAACCAGAATATCCAGAATAGTTACGACCAACGTTGGCTGAAAACAACTTCTGCACAATACATTAGTAAATAAACATGTAAGTCACCTTCATCACTTATGAAAAACCACAGCTCCGCGATAAAGAACAATTTGGCGCAATCTCTGGGATCCCGGTGATCAGCTGCTTAAACAAAGCTTGAAAACTTCTATTATATTGTTTGAAGCAAAAAAGCAAGTGTGAACAAAAGTTGTCAACTTTCCAAGTTTTCTGTGCGACAGAGTCATAACTATAATTGCGCAAATTAAACAGATATTGTAAACCGTTCAGTACATCCTAAATTCAATTTGCGTCAATTAAAAGAGGTACGAAGGTGTTGTCAGAATCTTAGTCGAGGCCTTCCGAGAGGCCGAGAGCGATGGCCAATAGTTACGTCACGACTTGAAAGTACTAGTCATGAAGTCCAGATGTCTGCACAGGTAAGGATACCATAACACACTGCCGCCAGCTTACCCTTATGACTCTGAATCTCTATTTTCATAAAAGTGTGATCACATGACGCTTGGCAGTCACTTTAGCACTTGTCACTGTAGCGTCCCGAGGCTTCCAATGGGGTAGTAGAAGGCATAAGTGAGGTTGAATACATGTACTCCGAAAGCC